ACTGGGCACTGCCTAAAGGAATTGTATTCCCATTTATCTTAGATATATACCTGACTATTTTAGGCTTGTAATAAAAAACTACCTATGTCTTTGATGAAACAGAATTTTCTGTTTAAATATCGATCTTGTATTGTTCCATAAAACTGCCTCACTATATGTTTCCTCATTATTTTTAATTATATATAAAATTTGAATTATATATAAAATGCAATAACACCAGTAGAAAAAAGTAGAAAAGTATAGATAAGAAGAAAGACTTATGCAGAAAACATGAACATAAGAGCCTGAGAAGGGAAAAATTTGGAGTCCTAAACAGATCCTATGTAAATCAAGAGCTCACAGTTGTACTGTGGACGCTGGAACTCCCATGGTACCATTGCAGAGCTCTGTGTGCTCATTTTGAGAGGTAAAAATCTTAGTGCTGCATAATTTTAAAAAATAAAGCCAAGTTTTTCCTTTCATTTTTATTTTTAAGTTGCACAAACCAGGAAGATTTGTGGAGCATAAAGCCATTTGGAATAGGCTGCTTAGCTGGTACTCTAATCCATCAGCTGCTGGGGGATCTGGAGAGCAGCCAAGCCTCCCAAATTCAACACGTTCAGCAGCTCTCCCTGTTCTTTCTCCCAGCACAGGAGGACAACAGCTCCTAAAACTTAAAGTTCTCACTATTTCATAAAGTTGTTTCATAAAGTTTGCTTTACAAAGGCCCTCCCAACCCATTAAAGATATTTAAAGTGCAGACTGGTACTTCACGATGTCCTGAACTGGTGCGTTTTGTTTTTATTTTGTTTTCAAACACTTCAATTCAATAGGCCAGTGGGAAAGGTCAGGACATCTGCCCATATTTTTTGGCATTACATTTATAAATACAGTGAGGTGTTATTCTGTTTCTCCTCAGCTAGAAAGTGACATGCCCATGAAACCAGAAATCCTGTCATACCTGTACCAGCACTGTCTGTAAGATAATTTTTTAATCTATCATATTCCTTTATATGGAAAGCTGTCCTAAAACTTCTATTTTATATAAGCTTGAATTTCAACATGCCCATGTTGAGATTATCTCTGTGAACAAAGATTCATTGTAGTGTGTCAATTAAAGCTGAAACAGCTTGGTAGGATCTTTGGAAAATAAATGGAACAGCACAGGTTTGTGTAAAGAAGGAATGCTTTCTTCATGTATACATACTCAGGAAAAAAAAATCTGACCACTCCATTTCTTTCTGCTCACTTTCTCACAAGAACAAGTGCTATAAATATTCCTGAAAAGTGAATTTGGGACTCAAGTATCTTAAAAAAAAATTTGTCAAAAGCAAACTTATAATTATGAAATGGTTTTAGAAAAAATCCTTTTCTTGCATAGATGACAACAAAGAATTTCTACAATTAATCATTATATTTTAAATACTGTTGTCAAAATGTTAAACATTTACAAAGCACTGGCTGTTGGCTTCTCATATGCAAGAACAAATTTGCAAATCACTGTAATGAAGAAAATAATTACAGAATTATAGAGTATTGCACTAATTAGTAATGTTTCAAGTGTGACCATGTGTTCATTCTGATCCACCCATCTGAAGGTGATCAGTTGGTCTCAAGCACTTAAAGCTTTATCATAGTTGAGCTATATGCATCACTTTTTTTTTTAAATCAACTTTATGCTGCACTAGAAATTTACATTAATATGCTCTTACAGTAATTTAATTAAATACTCATTACTAAGTACCACATCTAAATAGTGTGACTGCTACAAAATTGAATTTGGAATTCAATTTTTGAATTCAGAAACAGCAGCAGAATAAAAGTATTTCCTTACAAAATCCTGCCAAATCAGCATACTCCTATGGAAATGTCTATTACTACCCATTATCTGATCCCAAAGGATAAACTTTGAGAAAGCATTATTAAGTTTTGAACCCAATGCTATTATAAATATTTAGCATTAGGGGAATACTCTGAACTCTACTCCTTATTTTGGTTTGGAGATATTACTTAAAGGAACTGTTGCACTTTTTAAATGTATCAAGTAATGAAATACTGACATGTTTCTCATTTTCTTTTAAGCAGTATGTTCCATTAAAATAAATAATACATTTTTTCCTTCATCAATCCACATTTGTCATGATTTGCACATGGGTTGCCATGTTCTACATCACAATTGTTTCCATCTCTATATTGCAAACCAATAAGGAATGATTACATTTATTTACTAAATTGTTAAACTGTGGTTTACAGGAGAAAATAACTTACCTTGCAAATCTCCACTACCAAAAAACTGTTTGTTTTGAAGTTCTGGCATGTGTAAAATTAGCTGTTAGAGAATTACAGGGTTTGAGCAATAAACTGTAATACCACGTAAATTTATATAGCACTCTGGCTTGCTAAGAAACAACACTTAGTATTGAAGGAGGCTATATAAACAGCACCTTAAAAAAATAATAATTCTTCAACAGATATTGTAATAAATGTGCTGGAGATTTTAATTTCAGCTACAGTTGACAACAGTAACAAGGTTATTCCAACCACAGAAAAATGGTTTTATTTCTCTCCAGTTCTTTGGCCTAATGGCTTCATAGGCAAGAATTGACTACATAGTGGTCACTACAGGGAAGAGAGAGAAAAATTCTCAAGGTTACCTACCTTACAAGGGACAACAAAATAATTTCTAGTCAACAGAATAAAAAGCTGCATTTTACAGTGAATTTCTCCCCTGTGTACCTCTCCATCAGAATCAGACAATTTAACCTATTCCACTGCATTGGCTTTCTCTTTGGTATCCAGGAAATTGCTACCAACTTCTTGTTTCAAAATGTTTCACGTACCATAGGCTGAGCAACCAGAAATGTCAGCCTGACTTACACACAGGAAAGTGTGATTTTCTTTTAGGAAAGTTAAAGATCTAACTTTTTTAAAAAGGTAGCATCCAACCACTTGCTTTGCCCAGCAAAAAAACCAGAGACTACTCATTAAAAATAGCACAGAGGTATCCTTTGGGTTGCTTTTCTCCATTGTATCATGGCCACTTTAAACTGGTGAGACAGATTTTGTATTTGGTGTCAGCCACTCCCAGGGCTTTGCAGTTACGTGTGTGGAGGATGAACAGCAGGCACTAATACGAGTATCATGACTCTTTTCAGGCAGTAGGTGAAACCTTGAAGAAAAAGTGGCTCTGTCTTCAAAAAAGTGACCTGACCTTTGCTTTGGTGGGTTTTTACTCTGCAAGAAATAAAAAGCACTGCATGCTTTCCAATGCATCCTTCCCAACTGATAAACGATTTTGTTCTAGCACTCAGCACAAAAGGACCACATTTTATAAAGACCAATAGCATGCTATTAGTGCTAGCTAATGATAGCTCATGTGTCATACTGGAAACAAGCTTCATAGACCTGGAATATGTCATATGAATCATGAACAAACACATAATTGGCCCAGAACCTTTGATATGCTTACCAATTAAATGAATTGCTTACCAACGCAATTCTCATTGAATTTAATATATTTAATTCTACAATGACTTTGCAGTTCTTTGGATATCAAAGGCATCACAAATCCAGCATGCTTATCATTTATGACACTTCTGCTCTGAGAATTTCTTGCAGCATGCAAAGAACTCTCTGTAGGGTATCTGTGATGTGTTGCACAAGCAAGCTAATCTAATATTGACCTGACCAGTAATAAAATCCATTTAGAACCTGCAATAGTATGTAATGGTTTTACCTGCAATTGATGAAATGTTCCTGAAACAATCTGTAGTTCGGTATAAACAATAGTGGGGGTTTACTTGACACAGAATACTCTGCTAGTAAAGATAATTCTTGTATATAATGTCTTAGCAAAGAACCCCTCCTGTTAATAGACTTTTAAGGATTTAAATATATTTAAGTCCAGTGTAAAATACTTCTTTTATGGAGCCAGATCCTGCAGTCTTTTCACAGCTAAAACTTCCATGGAAATCAATGGGAGCTTTTAAAGTATAATAATAAGGACCTGCCCAGGGTCACTGGCATAATACAGCTCTGCTGTGATGCTTTATGTGTAAGCTCCAGCCTTCTCTGTCACTTGCAAGAGGCAGAGATCAAAATGAGACCAAAGATCAAGATACAGAAACCCACATGAATTCAAGATGATAAAGACCCTCATTAAATAAAAAGAATGGCATCAAACAGCATGGCACATAATGCCAATGCACATTTTGTTTGGCTAATGTACATTAAATAATGTCAAAATATCTTAACTTTTTCCAGAGTTTAGAACATATTAAGAGAATTTTAGGAAAAGTGAAGTTGAAACAAAAAACCTTACAGTAAGTTCTACAACAATGACAATTTTGGGAAGAGTTGTAGCAATGCCTACGATGGCAGAATTTGGCTCCGTATGTTCTGTTAGCAAAAACCCAGACTGTTTATATGATGTAAATTGCTTTTTTAAATGTTACTAGAGCTATAAACTCTGTGGGTCTAGATTATACATTCAAATTTCAGGGAGAGCTTGCCTCAGTGAACAACAAGGAACTGTGCTTTATTTCAAAACTCCACTTGATGCTATTTCTAAGAAAACAACAGCAACAACAAAAAGCCCACAAAGAGGTAATTTGGGTATAAACTTTTGGATAACTACAACTAAATCAACGGGCAGATCCTCCAGCCCTTGGTGCTTTAGGATCCTGCAGAAGGTTGGCACGGGGGAACTTCCAGCAGGCCTTGGCCCAGCAGGAAAGTGCCGGATTCCTGTTGGCTTCATTGGGGCAACTCTAACGAGCCACCAGACCACGGCTAGAGCCCAACTGCCTCCTTAACCGTGGGGTTGACGGAACATTTATTACATTATTACTCTTATTACGATTTTTGAACAGTGCGTGCGTGTTCTGCTTCCAACTGAGCTTGGCTTCCAGGCGCAGGCGCGGGCGGCGCAGGCCCGGCCAGGCCGGCTCGGGAGCGCGCGGAGGCGGTCGGAGCCCGCTGCTGACTTGGCGCCATTGTTGGTTTCGCTGTTGTAGGGCAAAGGCGCTAGGGCGGCCGATAAGGCTGTGGCCATGGTGATGAAGGAGATTCCGAGGGAGGAGTCTGCAGAAGAAAAGCCCCTCCTCACTGTGGCATCCCAGGTGGGCAGAGCGCGGGGCTCTGAGGGGGCCGCGGGCGCTGCGCGAGTCCCCAGCCCCGCTGCTTCACTGAGGGGGGAAAACAGCCTGGGGTGAATACTGGGGGTTTGGATGTTTTGACGTGAAAATATAAACCAAAATGTATTTTTCCCCCAAGTTAAGTTATCAGAAAGTTGTTTAAAGCTAGTTTAAAGTCTCGGTTCTAACTCATTCCATCAATTGTCACGCCATAAATACTCATTTGCCGTTCATGTATAAATATTCCCATTCGGTGCATATGTAAAATAAGAAACAACCAGTTCACAGTAGTGTCATTTCCAGTATCTCAGATCCCATTCCTAAGCTCTAACTGGGGTTCTGCTCCTGGCCTGGATCAGAATATGTGACTTTGCACATCTCATTGCTTTCATTTCTACACTTTCAGTCAAAGGAAGGACTTATGTCCCCACACTAAACCTTACACATACCTTGGAGTAGCCACCAAGCATTTGGTGGTTCCATTAGTTTGTTAAAGACAGTGACTGAACACTACTGTAAATCACAGCACTCTCATACGAGAGTGAATTTTATTCCCTTATGTTGCTCACGTACATGATTTTGCTCCCCAGGCAAGGGCATTTAGTTTACTGCCGATACTTACTGCACACAAATACTTCCAGCTCATCAGGAATGGAAATTGCTGGAAGCTGTTTTTATGTGAGAGCCTTAAATGAAATCCACAGTCCTGTTGTATTCCTCTCACAACAGCTACTGTACTTTAGAAAGTTCTCAGATGCACACACACCAGCACGTACTTCTCTAGAAGAGCATTGCAGAAGTGCTGCACTAATAAACATTCTAGAAACACCATCTACTAATTTGGAAACCAGGTCTGGCACCTCCTTCTCAGCCCCTGTTGAACGCCAGGTTTTGTTCATGGTGAATTCCAATGTCTATGAAGAAATTTCACCGAGGAAAAGGATGCTCTGTTTAAGGCATAATTTCTGATTTTCCACCAAGTGATAAACAAACAATTTGAAACCCACATAAAATGCTGTCCACTCTAAACCTTCACTGCACTCAAAAAAAAAAAAATTGACATGCAAACCTTCCATTGGCTTCAACAGGGCCAGGAGTTCAGCCTGGGTTCATTAAATGTTTAACACACCATTTGTAGTGGCTGTCTGTCAGTCTCCTCAGCAATAGTCTATGATAAATTTATGAGTAAAATGCTTGTGTCTGTTAGTCAGTGTAATTTCTTCCACTAAACACAAATACCTACTTCCCTGCTATGCACCAAAGGGGTGCAGAAGCCAAAAGGAAACAGAATCAAGTGAAAAAGTGAGTATTTTCCATAGCCATCTCTGCATCATGTACATGTGATGTGCAGTTGTGCGACCACGTTGCATACATTTGTCATTTGTCCCCTAATTGTCTGGCTGAAGTGTTGGTTTGAGATGCTGTCACTGCAGTGTGTCCGTGTGAACCCCTCATCCCCACCATCCATGCAGGAAAACGCTCTGCTGTGTCCACCATCCCCATCCCAGTGTCTGTCTCTGCTCTTTACATGATGAAACAGATGGATGTGGTTGCTGCTCACGGGGTGGAACAAGTTCCAGATTGACTGCAGACTTCCCAAGCCAGATGGGTCAGGACAATAAAGCCTGGTCCTTCCTAAGTTCTCACCAAACCCAGTGTGGTCAGGTCCACATCTTAGGGAGTAATTTAATGCATTAAGTAGCTCTGCTGCTCTAACCTTACAGCTACCTAAGTAAAAAACCTGCAACTGAAATGCAAGGATCAAGCCCAGACAGAGGAGCACTGGCTTTTCTAAGAGAAAAAAAAAGTGAAATCCCCATTTCCAAAATCCTTGATGAATGGAGGATTAATTATGTCTGACTGTGGAGACAGACTCCACAGGAAGCATAATTGGAATCTGATACATAAAGAAGAGTCTCTAAATCTGCTTTTTGATAGTGATAATGTACATAGGCCCCTGAATTTGTAATTTAAAATATGTCTCTTTGCTCTCTTCCTCTGGAAAATGGTAAAAATATATCCAGCACAGAACAAGACAGATAAATAGTCCCATTTTATTGTAATGCTCCTAGCAAAGTCCAGCTTTTAAAATATGAAACCTATCTTTTGAATAAATACTGCAAATTAAATTTGAACTATGTTTCCAATTCTCATATTATTTTATATACAATCAGATATAGTTTTATATCATCAAAACTGGAGGCAAATTTTCAAATTACATTAACCAAAAAAGTACTGCAGATTCCTGTGGGGCTACGGCAGTATATGGCAACTGGGAATCTCAATCACCATTCCAGCAGTAATGAGTGTACTACAGTGAGCAGAGGGGTATTCCTAATAATTGAATGGACCTTTCAGTATCTATTTTTTGTAATCCTGTCTTCCTGTCTCAATTACCTTCCATAAAAGTCACTTTCTTCACACTTATTGGTGTGAAAAAGGATTCAGTAGTTGCCAAATTTAATACTTCAAGCATCAAGAGAGTGATCTTCCAGTTCTAATGGGATTTTATAGAATATAACTCTATCCATGTTGCTGTCTCCCTTTATATTTTAAAAGATAATTCCTAATAGACTGGGACAAATGAAAAAGAGGTATTTTTTTCACATTAATAGAACCTAGAAAAACATGTAAGAAAGCTTGCTGAAGGTTCAAAGATTACCTAGATATTAAGCTATGAACCAATTACTTCTACCTGAAGCAGAGAAATAAATGAGAAAAATCATGCATAAATTTGGTTTTAATTGCAAAATAAAATTATTCTTCACAGCTTCTTTGCATTTGTCAGGAGAAAAAAAATCTTGCTTCAGAATTACTTTCTAATGAGAAATTTAAACCTAAACATGCCCTGAAGTCAAAGTTGAATTGTGCAGTCAGCTATGAAATTCCCAATTTGTTACAGGTCAGTGAACTTCAAAGGATCTGATTCAATCACATACTTCGACCCAGACTTATACTTTAAAATATGATTAACTGCTTTATTGAGCAGTAAAATGTTCATGCTTAAACGTTTTGCAAAAACAAAAGAAATCTCACAGTGTCACAGGAGTTATTTGTCCCAGATCCATCACACCTAATTTAGATTCCTTACCAGAGTACACAGGTTGGAAAGCTGCTCATGGTAGGATCTCTAAAAAGACAACAGAAGGAAAGACCTGCAGGAGGGGATCCACATCCATGACAGTCCTGTGGCCAATATACTCTGGAACAGAAATGGGAGTCCATGAAAACTTCACCAATAGGAAAAAGAAATGCAAAGTATATCTTGAAAGCTACTCCCCACTTCTGCTTGTAACTGAAAAATACAGGAGCTGCCTACTTAGAATTTATGGGACCCACATCGACATTGCTCAGAAAAAAATTTTGGTCTCGAGCACTTATAATTTTAAAAGTTAGCCCACAGAACACTTTAGGGTTTAGTATTTGAATTGGAAATAAGAAATTTTAAAAGCTGGAATTACATTATAAGAACCATGCTGAAATTCACCCTCCCCTGTGAAAAATGCAGGCTACAGCACATGTCAGAAAAAGAGAGATGTTTCATTACTACACCCCAATTAACTCCACCAGATGCTTAAGGCTTTTTTTTATGATCTATAAGGTATTAGTTAGCATTCAGAATAGGAACTATTATTTTTAAATTGAAATTCATTTGCATGCCAATACTTAGTTGTTCTAAGCACATTTATATTTGCTTAAGGGCTTGTGAATAAAATTCTCAAACATTTCCACTGCCTAAATTCCACTGTTCTGGTGTTTTTGTTTTCATTTGCTTTTATGTATGTTTGTATGTGTGTATGTATGTATTTATTTACTTTTTTTGGTGGTGGTATATTTTTGCTTAGGTTTAGTTTTCTTTTCTTGCTTGCTTTGTTAGGCTTTTTAAATATTTGTTTTGTTCTGGGCCTTTTATGTGGGTTTTGGTGGGTTGTTTGGGGTTTTTTAATCTCTAACAGGAGATTTTTGAATGCTTCCATTCAATTTTATAGAGGAATCAGATTAAAGGTAGCTAATATTCAGCTCCCAATGTTGTTGGTAGATTTTGTGATGTGTGTATCAAGGGCTCACTACATGAATTTGATTGCATAATCACAGTTTTCCATATAAACTTAACAGTCCCATTTGAATCAATCATGTTCATTCTAAGCTTCTTAGCATTAGGCTTGCTCTGACTTCCAGCCCACTCCATAAATGTTTTCTCAAAAAGATTATAACAGAATGGTGGGATGTTCCAGTGGATGTAATTAGCTTCCCTTCTCTTTTACACCAACCTAAACCAGAATTCATTCCATTTTAACTAAATGAAATACCTTCACATAAAAAAGGCAAAAATTATGCCAGTTTTAATTATTGTCATTATCAAAGTCTGGAGTGCAAGAATTCACTGTACATTCCAATCTGCCTTCTGAGAACAGTGGCAATTTCTTCACTGATCTTAGGATAACTAGACTTGAGATCCTATTTTTTTCAATCTTTTTAAAGGATTCATGATAAATTCATTAGCAGTATGTTCTATACATCTCAAATCTGGTTTACTATAAAAGCTTTGAGTAGTTTATCTGGGGACACATCCTAAGTCCTACTGATAACTCTTTTTCATCTATTATTAGGACAGGGCAAATACATGAAGAGCAGAAAAAAGAAACACAAAAATGTATAAATGCATGCTTAGCAGTACAAATATTAATTGATTCTTTACCTCTAAGTTAAATATTGCTCAACATTTATTGCTTTTAGGGCCATATGCATAATTTCAGCAGAAATATTCTCATGAGTACAATAAAATTGCCTTGACAATATGCTTAAAAGTCATAAATTGGCTGCTTTCCTAAAGTTATATAGATCTCTCTGTCAACTAAATTAAATACATTTTTCACAAAATTACAGTTCTAATTTGAAATAACCATGGGAATTGATAGTGTAATATTTTTTAATAAAACGAAGAAATTAACCATACTGTTTCATAAATTGTAAAATTCCTTACT